AAAAAAAAACAAAAAAACCCCCAACAGACCAAGTCCACAACCACATGAGTAGATAGGCCAATTGGTCTGGATAAATGCTTAACCATTAACTTTGTTTCCCCAAATTTTCTAGTTTTCTCTGTTTCAGAAGATATGCTAGCTGTGACAATTAACAACCCCACCATAAGATATGTCAGTTTAAATGGTCCACCAAGCATGAAATATGAGGAAAGCTGGCATTAGACTTTAAGTACATACTCCTCACACTTAGAATACCATGTTGCAATACTACTTTTTCAGCTGTTCCTTCAAATCTTTTTCCTTAGTGGGGATCTGCTGCAGGGTTAGCCTCCTGACAGCTCCCCATGCAGGGTCCACAGCTTATGGGATTCAGGTCCAGGCTCACTAGAATCCTGCAGGGGGATTGGGGGATGGAGTCTAAAGAAACTCAAGAAGAATCCTAGCTCTAATTAAACAAGTTGATGGCGTTCATCCAGTCATCTTACCCCAAACCTGAGGGCTGAGCCAGAAACTGATGTGGCTTACAGGCTGTGTGCTTCCAAATACTACTTAAGTAGTCTCAGCCAGGTGGCATGAGACTTGTTTCAGAGAAACCATTCAAAGACATAAGCTTAGACTAAGGTACTAATAAGGAAAGGAGGGTGCTGGGCCAAAGGGGAGATACCAGGCTACAGGAGGAGACATTCAGGCTCCAGAAGAGCAGCACAAAAGCAACTTTTCAGAGAGCACAGGCAGGGCTGGAAAAGAACATTCTAGAGCTGAGGCTCTTACCCAAGGGCTTCCACAACTTGTAACACCGTATAGCTGCCGGATTTCACATCTAGAGGAAACAGAAGAAATAAATATGAAAACAAAACCCCCCATCAAAGGGTTCAATAATGGGGTGCTATAGGGTCCACTATGATTGCCAAGTGCCCCACCTAGATAAGAAGCATTGTTGGGACATTTCATACCTGCAGCTTTAAGTATAAAAACTGAAAAGGAGGCTTGGCACCCATAGCTCAGAGAGTAGGGCACTGGCCACATACACTGAGGCTGGTGGGTTAGAGCCTAGCCTAGGCCTGCTAAACAATGACACAAAAATACCCAGGCATTCTGGCAGGTGCCTGTAGTCCCAGATACTCTGGAGGTTGAAGCAAGAGAATCACTTGAGCCCAAGAGTTTGAGGTTGCTGTGAGCTGTGATGCCATGGCACCCCACCAAGGGCAACATAGTGAGACTATGTCACTCTGGATAGAGTGCCATGGCATCACAGCTTACAGTAAAAAAAAAAAAAAAAAGAAAGAAAAAACAATCCAGGCTTGGCTCCTGTGGATCAAGGGGCTTAGGTGCCAGCCACATACACCTGAGCTGGCGGGTTCAAATCTAGCCAGTGCCTGCCAAACAATGACAGCTGCAACCAAAAAATAGCTGGGCGTTGTGGCAGGCACCTGTAGTCCCAGCTACTTGGGAGGTGGAGGCAGGAGAATTGCTTGAGCCCAGGAGTTAGAGGCTGCTGTGAGCTGTGATGCCATGGCACTCTATCCAGGGTGACAGCTTGAGGCTCTGTCTAAAAAACAAGCAAACAACAACAACAAAAAATCCAATTCCCCCCCCTAAAAAAAACTAGAAAGTAAGTAAATATAACATTTATAAATGACATGACTGTATAGCTGGAAAAAATAAACGATATTACTAAGAAAATAATTTGCTGGCTCAGCGCCTATAGCTCAACCGGCTAAGGCGCCAGCCACATACACCTAAGGTGGCGGGTTCGAATCCCCAGCCCGGGCCCACCAAACAAC